GCTCAAAACAACCTGATGCTGAGGTATTTTGCTGTAATCTGTTTATTAAGGTGTGATGTGTTTACTGTGTTATTGTCCCATTGTTAATTGAGTTAATTAAGTCACCTATTGTTTCTGTCTGTTGGCTAGACCTTCTGGAGGTTCCTACATGATGAGATTAGTCTGCTGTCAGATTTACCTCCTTATGTATTCAGTGTGTGATGTTTATCCGGATGTGTAATATTTGTTTTATTGTTCATGTGAGGACTGCTCCTATTTCCAAAGTGTAAAAAAATCTGTATTTCTGTTCGATACCACCCAGACTTTTAAATAACAACTAAATGGGGCTGTTCACATGCTGTGGCAGCTATGCTTTGCTTGGTGGCTTTGCTGCATTTTTAACTTGGTCTGCAAATTTTGACAAGAAGTACCACTTGTCAGACTTGCATTATTGCGTGAAATCGGGTGGTGAGGTGACAAGATGACAGCTCCTCACTGCCTGTCAAATGCCCTCTGAAAAACACTGTGACTGGAAGGAGAGCCTGAGATTAGTACAGTGGATATTTCTGCAGATCCTGAGATAGAGTGAAGAACAGGTGCATGGCTCCTGGGGTTTGCAGTGTGTAGACGCTAACACAGAAAGAACATGGCTAGGTAGCGGAGTGGTGAATGAGCATCAGGACATCTCTTAGACAATGCTTTCCCACCAGAACCAAGCCTCCCTGCTGTACCGATCAGTTCCTGAGGCTCTTCTCTTACAGTTCTTGCAGCCTTCCACATGGATATCTTTCAGCTTCCTCAGAGAGGCATGTTGACAGTGAAGGCATAAAGGGCTGGATAGGGACAGCCAAAGGGCCAGATGTGGCCGTGAGGCTGAAATTTGCCCAGGTCTGGTCTAGCATAAGTCTTTGTAAATTAATTCCCCTTGGAACCCTGACTGGGCTTCCGCAAGGAGCCAAACTGGCAGAGTTACGGCTACATCTTGACAGTATATCTGGACCTCTGTTTTGGGCACTTATGAGCTTCTATTTCTATGACACAACCTGCAGGGGTGGCAATTCCCCAAAAAGAGCTGGAAAACCTGAACAGACAAATTTATCTTTTCTTCTCAGGTCCACCAACACAACATGTCAACCTAGGACAACAGGTCCAACAAGCTACACTGTAACATTTAGTTTGTACACATAATCACAGTTGACCTGAAGAGCCTTGGACTATAACCATAACAAAAGAGAAAGATTTGTAACACTTGTGAATCCTTTTGGAAGCACCTGTTTACAAGCCGGCCATCTTGTATGTGGATAACCTCTGTTCTGTAGGTTGAGACTGCACTCACTGGCTCCCCCCAATGGCATTTCGTCAGTATGACAACTTTAGCAAGACTTACTGTGACTAAGTGCAAAGGGGGGTTCAGTATAATATGTATTCTGAAGCTGTTCTTATTACATACAGACTTCATATAGAGAATACTTACTTGCTTGATCCATGTTTCATTTGTTGATATCTGACAAAGAAATCCGTGACAAGCTAGGACAGGGGAGGAGTAGATTGCTGATTTCATGAATCACATGCTCAGCATACCAGGAACTCAGTCACCAACGTAGTGTTTTATTGTTTTGGCATCCTACCAATGACTTAGCAAAATGAAGGGGGCCAGAATCTTTGCAACAGAACATAAAAGATAATACTTTTAGACATTCCACATGAGAAAAATGAATGGGCAGTATATAGGATACTGTTCTAATGTCCCTTTTTTTTACTCAAGGTCAGCTTTACCATGCCATGTGTAGATGTTTTGCTATTACTGGTTTCAATCTACTTGTCTCTTCTGCATATTGCCTATATGCTGTAAATTGCCTATTTCATTAGCAGCGAGCAGTGCTCCCATTTATCAGCAGATCTCCTCTAGGCTCTCGTAGAAGAGAGCTGTTTGCTGCGATCACAGGAAGTAAACATAATGGGCTGTGATACTATTGCTGCAGCAGCTTGCCTGAATTATTAATTTAGTCACACTTTCATGGTTTCTTGAGTTTTGCTAGCACAGCATAAGACATCATTGATGTTTTTTTGAAAGATGACTTAATAAGCAGATTCTCCACTGGCTGAGACACCATCTGTATCTATAATTGCAACTCAACAAAGCTATCAAAATGGAGAAATCTTAGAAAATTAAAGAATTTCACTAAAAGTCTCCAAACAGAAATCCTCACCTATTTATCTCCTAGCACTACCCTATCTAGCCAACAATACATGACCACCCAATCACTATGGCTTCCCCCAGCAGTGTGTCTTTACAGACATCCCCAATAGCACACTTCCACCAAGCCTCTTTCTTGTTTCCTCCAAGGAATAGTAAGCATGTTTCGTAGTAGAGTAGTACCATGTTAGCCATCAATTCATATAAAAGGTTTGGAGTTTAAGTCATACCCTTTATTGGCTAACCTAAATTATTAAAAATGCAAGCTTTCAGGACAACTTAGATCCCTTCTTCTGGCTTTATGTATAAAGCTGACAAAGGGATATAAGTTATTTCAACAACTTGCATCTACAATAAGTTAATTTAGCCAATAAAGGGTACCACTTAAACTCCAAACCTTCTGCATTTCTCTAGCAGGAAAGTATGTTGGAGGGCCTGCCTTTTGATTGACAGATGCATCGGTCTATAAGATAGTACTGGTGTCCCAGAGGATGCAACCAGTGCAGTGTTGAAAGTCTAAAGTTTTATGCATTTTCCAGGTCAGTGACTCAGTAGATAATGAAACCCGGATGAAGATTTCAGCACAGTATCCTTTACTAATATCTGTAAATGAAAGCTGTCATGAGAAAAACATGATGGCTACCATTAAAGACCTCCACTTCTGAAAGTGCTAGTTCTCTGGCTGTTACGTTGACCTACTTGTGTTCTTGCTGTCAAACCATTCCTCATTGTGCTGTCAAACTGACCTGTTTCTGAATTAGTGAAACAGAACACAGTATGGACTAGAATTTTTCTTGTTTAAATATTTTATTAAAGAATTTTCAATGCAAACTACAGGAATGTAATCACATGCAGTAGGAAATGTAAGACATCAACAGGCAAAATACAACAAAAATGGAGTAGAGCTTTTAAAAGAGGCCAGCAATGGAAACTCCTGGGTACTGTGTGTCCTGTGTGTGGGGCTTTACCTTAAAGCAGTAGGGCAGTGGGTTTTATTTTAATTTACCGGTAAGTCTGTTTGAACATACAAAAGCACAATTCAGGGATCGAAAATAAACCCTTGCAGTTACATCCATGTTACAAGGGATAACTGTTCTATACGTCTAAGGGGGAAGAGGAAGAGGCAGTATAAAGGTAGTTGTAAACATTATTTTCGGTAAAATAATAATGTTATATGTACTTGTTACAGTGCCATTGCACAGAGTGGCCCCTGAGCTCTTCTTCCAGTCCCCCGCTGGTGTTCTCTGCTCCTCCTCTTCCAGCCCCCCGCTTCCCTGAGTGCCCCATCATCAAGGCGTGTGCTGAGGTGGCACCTGTGTGGGTGTGCTCCCAAGCCTGGCTGTGCATATCCATAGACACACACAGCATTTCCCCAATGCTCTGAACTGTGGCCAGTCCCTTGGCATCATTACATACAATGCAAGGCTATTAGTCCTGCTTTGTACGTGGAGGAGGCAAGCAAGCAACTCTGGTCAGAAGCATCTTAGAGAGGAGATTTTGCAGGACCAGACTCAGAAATGAAGAAATGAAGATGGAAGAAGCATGCCAAAGCAAGGTGAGTATTACTCTTTATTTTGTACCCCTAGACAAAAATGAGCATTTAACCCATGAGTGTGTGTGTCTGGGGGGGGGGATTATGGTATGGGATCAGTTGTTGAGAAAATTTGTGTATAGAAAGTATAGATCATCAGAAAAATAAAAGTCAACAGAGATAGTGGTTAATGTAAGAATTATATTTGTGCTGTATTTTACCTTGTTGTTAAAGGAACCTATCAGGATAGGAATCTAGGATCTTCTCCTAATAGGTTGCATATGTTCCTCCTTCACTGCATGACGGACCAGTGAAATGCACAAGATTGTTCCAGGTCGCTAAACAGAATGACAGCCCCCAACCATGCAACTTTATAAACAAGTCAATTACATCTCCTGTTTTTCTTCTCTAGCAAGTTCCCTGTAAGTGCTTACTAAATTTTGGGAATCATGTTGTTGAAGGACAGCACATTCATGGTGGCAGTTTGATGGCGAAAGAGGCTTCTCCTGTTCATTATCTTTTCACTTTACTTCTTCATTTACATTATGAACTAATTGGGCTAACAGAGACCTGTCCTTCTGCAGCAGTAGGAGTGAGAACATGTGAGTAATCAGTATTGGGAACTCCAATGGAGGGCGTTCCAAAAAAAAAAAATCAGTGGGTGATGCTATTTTCCACACATAACTGGATGAGGATCAGTAGTTGACCCATTAAAGTGTAACTCCAGTCAAAAGAGCCAAATACAGAGTTGCAGTGCATGCATGTGAGTAGTTTATCTGCCCAGATGTTTCTGAAAAACTTGGAGCAGGAGCAGGAACTTGTTACATGTTCCATCCAAAAACCGGGTGGAACACATATTTCCGAAGGTTAACTTATCCGTTACATAACTCAGAACTTATACTCTTTGTGGTAGATTTACTAAAGGTAAATAGACTGTGCACTCTGAAAGTGCAGTTGCTCCAGAGCTTAGTAAATGCAGTAAAACCTCACATTTCAAAGAATACCCAATAACATGCAAGGAACATAGAAAAAAAAGCATTTTTGCTTGCACATGGATGAATGATGGAAGTCAGAAGAGCTTCCCCTCATTTACTAAGCTCTGGAGCAACTGCATTTGCAAAGTGCACGGTCTATTTGCCTTTTGTAAATCAACCTCTCTGTTGTACTGCTTCATTCCTGGCAACTGAATAAAGCAGCAAGCAGGGGCGGACTGACCATTTGGAAACTCAGGCACTGTCCGAGGGCCCAGGGTCAGTAGGGGGCCCTATGAGATGCCCCTGGTTCCTTTTTCATAGGCTTTTTTGAGTTTGGGCAAGGACACAGGGGCCCCATGATCCCCTATTGCCCGGGGGCCCCATGAGTTGTCAGTCCGCCCCTGGCAGCAAGGGAACAAAGGAAAGGGAAGTATGTGCAGCTGATGTTGCTTACCCTTTAGAGATTCATTAATACCGGCCGAAGAGAAGTAAATCCAGTTCTTTGAAGGAACATGTTGCTACACAAGGTCCACAGTCTTTTTGATGGAATATTTATCAGTTGTGCCAATGTATGAGATTGATACACATTCTGTAGCCTTTTATTCTGCAAGCCTGAATACATTGTTATTGAATACAGACATGTACAGAGTTCATTCTGCCGTGCAATTATGTTAATGTTTGTATTTCATGGTGACTCTATGCATGCCTGAAGTCTAAGTGAATTCAATAAGCTATAAAAGATTTGTTGATAACAGCTGATGTGGCAAATCCTGTTTATGAGAACTCACAAATACGATTCTTTGTGTTAGATTATTTCTGGTAATGCATTTTACTAAGAATTTATAAAGAGTAGAGCAAAAAGAATCCATAATGTATGTATGGAATTCTGTACAATCCAATGTCGTACTGCCCAACTTTCTGAGATGGGTTTACGGGACAGCTTTCCTTGGCAGAAGTTTGAAGGACAACTGTAGATTATTTACTTTTTTGTTTTACTGAATATTCCCTGAGTGGTGATTACCTGGTTTTATACTTATCTTTAGTATCAATCAATTGATCTTCACTGTGCGGCCCTGCTTTGAGCAACATAGTCTTTCTTGTGGAAATGGTTACTTTGTACTGAGCATGCACACCACAGCTCTGTTCATTCCTGTGGATAATGCCTTATACACCTGATAAGAAAATCGGATGAAAAATACTGCTTTCAAAGCGATCATCTGATAATCTGATTGTTAGTACACAACTTTCGTGATAGTTCATGCAAAATTATCAGAAGAGACAACACGAATATTTTTCTTATATGATACCAGAACAAATGATTTTCGTTTAACCTCCCTAGCGGTCTGATTATGTCAGTATATCTGTGCTCAAAGCGGTACATTGTTTTCAGTGGAAATATGTTGTTTTTTTTTTTTATTGTAGGCCTGTAATTTTTAGGAATAACTCACTGAAATCTGTCCGAACAAGAGTCCAATAAACATCCCGGGTATGATAAAATTTGAAACACGAAATCATAAATTATAATATAATAAATAACCATTAAAAATAATAATATAATAATACATTTAATTCAATAATGTAATCAAACAAAAAACACTGAAATTTGAAATATAGCGCCAAGTTCGCACATCGCTGAGCTTATTCACAAAATCGTTTTCAGTGTCTGATGATGAATTTCCCCACGAATCATTATCACTCAATTCTGCAAGTAGTTCTGATTTACTATCGCTGTTCTCTAGCTGGTCTAAAACTGCTTTTGACCTAAAGGGACGCTTTTTGGACGCCATGGACGTTTCTCAGTTTCCACGCAGAAAGAACAGTAAAAATGCAGGCAGGGCACAGGACAAAGTACTCGGGACAAAATGTATGTGAAATGGTTTTTTTTTTTAACTTTTTATTTCATACTTATACAAACAACATTAAAACATTCCATCTTCCAAAATATACTTTTTTCTTTTCTCCCTTAAATGAATAAATACATTCTATAACCCCTCCATCTCCCACCCCCCACCCACCCCCGCCCATCCCCCCATTATTGTCTTATCTTTCTCTATCTGTATCCATTTCTCCATAACTTGTTATTCCGACCAATCTCATTGTGATTTCTTAGGCTACCTCCTTTACTTTAATTAGTTCTGTATACGATTCTGCGGTTTTAAAATTTAATCAAACACTCCATATTCTTTTAAATATTCCCATCTTATCCTCTTCTAAACTTCTCAGTTCTTCCATTCTGAAAATGCCTTCCACTCTTATCTATCCAATCCACCACCCTTGGAACCTCTGCCACTAACCAAAATTTTGGTATCAAACCCTTTGCTGCACTGATTAAATGGTACAATACTTTATTCCTATTTACTTCCGCCATGGGCTCAGAATAGTAGAATAAGCATTTTAGTGGGTCCCCTTGAATATCTACCCCACATATTTCCTTGATATAATACGCTATTTCCCTCCCAGGGGCGGACTGACCATTTGGGAACTCGGGCATAAGGGGCCCCATGAGATGCCCCTGGTACCTTTCATAGGCTTTTTTGGGTGCGGTTTGAGTGTGGGCAAGGACACAGGGCCCCATGATCCCCTATTGCCTGGGGGCCCCATGACTTGTCAGTCCGCCCCTGTTCCCTCCAATAATCCTGTATCCTCGGGCAACTCCACCAGATGTGCTCCATATTGCCCTTTTCTCCACATCCTCTCCAGCACCATGGGGAGCTTTCCCCTTGCTGCTTATGGGTTATACTGGGTATTAAATACCATCTCGCCAAGCATTTGTAGTTTATCTCTACTGTGCGCATGTTTATTACCTTGTGTGTTAGGTTAAAAATACCTTCCCTTAGCTGAGGGTTGATTTTTATTCCTAGTTCCCTTTCCATTTACCTAAATTTCCAGGGGGCTCTACATCATCTAAGTCCACAAGGATTTTATATATCCTAAAGGTGATGTGTTTTGGGGTAATTCAGCATTCATTAGGTTTTCAAACGGGTTCATTTCTCCTACATCCCTAAATGGTTGTGGTAAATTTGCAACAAAATGAGACAACTGGTTATACTTCCATTCATCTATTCTAACAAACAAATCCTTATTCTTTTTTAAATTCTGAAACGTGCATAATCTCCCCCCTTTTATAACATCTTTCAAGCGTGCGTTTTTATCCTTTATCCATCTTCCACTTATTTTAACATTTCCTGGTGGAAAAAAATCTGTTCCCACTAGTGGTATCAATAGTGAATTAAATTCCCATTTGTCCTTATTGTGTAGTCTATCCCATGTATCCAACACTATCCTAGTCAATTTACTCGTTTCTACATCTAATGTACGAAACCCGTGAGGTATCCAAATCATTTTATCTAATTGTGATTTACTTAATTCCCCTTCTATCTTTACCCAACTTTGTATGTGAGATGGTTTGATACAGTAATGTAATACTATCAGATTTTAGTGTATTGAGTGAATGTCAAATTTTTACATTTTTGAATTTCCCGCCGGTTCCGTCCTCTGTACGTCCCATACATCCCGTACACTCGCAGGGAACGAAACCCAGAAGACGGATGCCGGCATCAGCCGGAGGACGCTGCAGGGGGGACATCGCGGGAGCGCAGGACAAGGTAAGTGTTCGAGGGAACCTAGAGCAACACTGCAAGGTAATCCCAAGTGTAGCTCAGGGTTACTGCTTTTGGTACTGAAAGTTAACCCCGAGCTACACTCGGCAATAAAGCCAGGGAGGTTATTCAGTACAGTATTTGTTCAAAAAAAATGTAGTGACCAAGACCACAATTGAGTGACCAAAGAATACATTACAGTACAATAGAATACACTACGTTATGATTACATCATTGCAGGAGTTGCGTTCTGTCTTATGAGCAGGGGCGGACTGACAACTCATGGGGCCCCCGGGCAATAGGGGATCATGGGGCCCCTGTGTCCTTGCCCAAACTCAAAAAAGCCTATGAAAAAGGTACCAGGGACATCTCATGGGGCCCCCTACTGACCCTGGGCCCTCGGGCAGTGCCTGAGTTTCCAAATGGTCAGTCCGCCCCTGCTTATGAGAATTTTCGTAACTCTAGTAAACTATTCATTTTCGATATGAGATTAGCATGCAAAAAAAAAAAAGAAGATCATTCGTCCAATATTCTCATTGTGTGTACGAGGCTTAAGCCATACTCCAAGTTGCTGCCTGAGGCCACCATCATTACAGTTTTCCCGAAGTGATTAACGGGCTGTTATGTGCATGCCTTTTTGGCGAAAAAGCTGTGTAGCTAAGAGCACTGCAGTTAAGCCAAAACCCACAAACGGAATAAGAACCCCAAAATACCAACGCTGAGACAATGAAACAAAAGCCTACTTTTTTGTAAGGGAAGTCTTACAGCAGAAAAAAAAAATAACCTAAAAAATAATAATTGACTGTCCAGATAAAATAAAAAAAATTATCTGCACTGCAGTTGAGAAGAGATTTTATCCCTGTATGTCTCCTTGGGGGAGGTTCATGCTGTCTGTTTGACCTGTTGAACATTGTCATCAGAAGGAAAAAAGGGAATTCAAAATATTTTGGTTCTCACCAAAACATGGGAGTGAGGGGAAAATCTTTTATTAGGCACGCCAGTACTGATGACAACTGTCTAAGGGAAGTTGGAGAGAATTCCTCTTACTTCCTGTTGTGTGTCCAGGATGGAACACGGACACGAAAAAATAAAAATACATGATACATTCCAGCTATTCCCAGCTGTATCCAAATAAAAAAAAATATATATATTTTTGGCCTTAGATATACTTTAAAGAGACACTGTTAGGGCTCATGTACACTGCAGCTGATAAACCGACGTTCAGGAGCTGTTGTGCGTTTTTTTCAGCAGCCCCTGAACTCTCCCTAATGTTTTCCTATGTGTCCATGTCATTTTACAGGCAGTTGAGTTTACAGTCGTTCAAAACGTAGAAAACTTGTGTTCAGGAGTAGATTTTATCAGCGTTTCAAACGCTTGTAAACCCGAGTAAATACGGCTAAACGCAGCTAACTGCGTTTATAAGCGTTTGTATTAGAAAAAAAATTTTCAACCTCTTCCATTTCTAGATGCTGTCCAGAGCCTTTTTTCATCATGAAAAATGCATGCAAAGTGTTTTCCGGTACTCAAATGGACCTGGTACACCATACTTTGAGGTTTTGCATGAAAGAAAATATGTTAGACACTGCTGCAATAATTTCTACACAGAAATGAGCTGGAACACATCCAAACACCACAAAAAAAAAGACATCTAATCTCAACAAATACTGCTCTCTCTGCTTCTGCTCTCTCTATTTCTCTCAAAATGTCTAATGTTTTACTGTTTTTCAGTGCATTCTGGGCATTTTGGAAGGTCTCCTGAAGTTATCTTTAAAAAACGTTTCTAAGCGCAAACGCTCATAAATGTGCATAAATGCGGTGTGCAAACGCGGCTAAACAGACGTTTCTTAACCTACGTTTTCCAGCAGTCAGTTTCCATCGTTCATAAGTACATGGGGCCTTAGTTTGCTGGGCAGAGTGACAGTGCCTTCTAATAGCCCACCACCTATCACTCATCAAACCAGGGTCCCTCACCATCTCTATTCCATCAGAGTCCCCAATCCATTACTTTAATATAATAGAGTGAGGCTTCGAAGTATGGGGAGGATTTGACCTCCCTCATGTGACGGTGCTCAGACCTGAGCTACCAATCAGCAGGCTGAGGCATGTGTGGATGATGCAGTGATGTCGTACATCCAGGTAAGCTCTGACACTGGATCTCACTCAAGGTGGACTCTGCAGAGGGTCGGTGGCAGGGCGTCGAGGGAGCATGGATTGTTGAGTATGGATTGTATGAGGACAGGCAATCAGGTGGCACTGTCATTATACCCCCAATGAGCAGGTGATGTCTCTTTATCTTTCCAAAATCTACCCAAAACGGAACCAAAACTGCTGGATTGACCCTTTAACCTTCCTGGCGGTATTCCCGAGTGTAGCTCGGAGTAAAGTTTCAGTACCAAAAGCGGTAACCCCGAGCTACACTCGGGAATACCCTGCGGCGTTGCTCAGGGATTCCCTGCAGCGCTTACCTTGTCCTTCGCTCCCACGATGCGTCCCCTGCAGCGCCCCCGGCCATCTCCTACGGCCGATGCTGGCATCCAGCTTCCGTGTTCCGGTCCCTGCGAGCGTCGGGACGTACGGGGGGCCAGAACGGCAGCAAATTTAAACATTTTTTTAAACTGTCATTTTCTCAGAAATGAATTTGACATAGTAAAACATTACTGTATCAAACTCAGGGGCGGACTGACCATTTGGAAACTCGGGCACTGCCCAAGGGCCCGGGGTCAGTAGGGGGGCCCATGAGATGCCCCTGGTACCTTTTTCATAGACTTTTTTGAGTTTGGGCAAGGGCACAGGGGCCCCATGATCTCCTATTGCCTGGGGGCCCCATGAGTTGTCAGTCCGCCCCTGATCAAACCATTTCACATACATTTTGTCCCGAGTGCTTTGTCCTGTGCCCTGCCTGCATTTTTACCATTCTGTCTGCCTGGAAACTTAGAAAAGTCCATGGCGTCCAAAAAGCGTCCCTTTAGGTCAAAAGCGGTTTTAGACCAGCTAGAGAACAGCGATAGTAAATTAGAACCACTTGCAGAATTGAGTGATAATGATTTGTGGGGATTTTGTCATCAGACACTGAAAACGATTTTGCGACTTTGCTCAGCGATGTGCGAACTTGGCGCTATATTTCAAATTTCAGTGTTTTTGGTTTGATTATATTATTGAATTAAATTTATTATTATTATATTATTATTTTTATGATTATTTATTAAATTATAATTTATGATTTTGTGTTTCAAGTTTTATCATACCCGGGATGTTTACTAGATTCTTGTTCGGACAGATTTCAGTGAGTTATTCCTAAAAATTACAGGCCTACAATAAAAAAAATACATATTTCCATGCAAAAAAATGTACCACTTTCAGCACAGAAATATGGACATAATCAGACCGCTAGGGAGGTTAATAGAATGGGTTGTCCCCGATAACCAACATATTGTAAAATAGTTTATAAGGCAGAGCTTCACAAGATAGCCTGGATCGTTTTTCTTTTTTTCTCACCATGCTCCTGTTAAAGCAGTGAGTGACAATGTGTAGTATATGCTTAGCAATATGTTCCTGAGGAATCATCAGCAGAATGTTACTGTAACATGTTTTGACAGCTTTGCAGTGATGGACCTGTTAATGCCATGAAAGATTTAGTCATTATTTATACTTATTAGCATCATACACAATAAAGTTTTTTTTTTTTTTTAATACACAGAATCACTGCAAACTTGGTGCATAATGTCTAATTGAATTGACTGATCTCTTGTCAAACTGCATTGGGAAGATTGCAAAACACATTTCTATCTTAAAGACATCAGTTATTCGTATAGAGACACATTGCACTGAAACATAAAAATGAAAATGCTGTAACCATGACAACATATCTTATGTTTGGTTTAGTCATCTCTACGTACTATAGTAATAAATACTAACTGGAATGCCATTGGATGCTATGGGTTTCCATTTTTTAAGTTTAGAAAAATATTTAATTGTATCCAGCTAAATGCATTTTGTTTCATATGGTCCTAGAACAGTAAATTGTTTTTACTTGTGTTTAAGCCCTGGTGCACATATATGCGGCCGTGCGTTTTGCGTGGGCACGAGACCCACGAGAGCCATTTGAATGGACTCCCGTGCCCCGTGACACGCAGAAAAGTCCTGCACTTCTTCTGAAAACGCAGCCCGCACGGGAACCTCGGTTACTAGTATGGTTGTGTTTTCCAGTGCGGGTGTTGTGCTGCATGGATTTTCGTGCGGATCCACAGCGGCACCCCCTGCACAGATGTGAACCTAGCCTAAGGGCTCATGTACACTGCAGCTGCTAAACTGACGTTTAGGAGCAGTTGAGCGTTTTTTCCAGCAGCCCCTGAACTCTCCTTTATGTTTTCCTATGTGTCCTTGTACACATAGTCATTTACAGTAGTTTACAAGCAGTTGAGGTTACACGCATTCTGTTGGAAGCACAAAAATCGAGTTCAGGAGTAGAGTTTACCGGCGTTTCAAACGCTTGTAAACACGTGTAAATGCAGTTATGCGCGTTTGCTTTTAGATGTGTTTTTGGCTGCCCTATATCCAGATGCTGTCCAGGGCCTTTTTTCTTCATTAAAAATGCATGCACAGCATTTTCCATGTATTCAAATGGACCTAGTACACCAGTGCAGTCAGTTCCAGGTTTCGCGTGAAGGAAAAAATTGTAGAACGTGCTGCATTATTCTCATCATGGGATCCATAGTGGGATCAGTTTCCAGCGGTCAGAAGAGTTATTCAAACGCCCCGTGTACATGAGCCCTAACAAGACAGTTCATGTTTATCAGACTTGAATACAGTAAAAGAAGTGAGACAACAGTATGGAAAAGAATACTAAAATCAGACGTCTAGCATGTACTTTCTTTTAGTCTTCTGTGAACATGGGGTGCTCTTCAGGGCTCTACTTCCCATAATGGCTCTCGTAGCATTGGTGCTTAATGCAGCAAAGTAAGTGGGAAGGGGTGGGTAGGAGGTCAACAGGGTGAAGGGGAAACACCAGGCCTTTAACTTTTTCCTTGATTTTGTTTAGCTTTGTGCAGGGTCAGCCACAGCAATCCCCATCCTAGACCGGCCATCAAGTTAAACATCTTGCGGGGCACATATGACTGGGCATCAGAGTCCATGTCAGTGTTAACCCGGCCAAAAGCCCCGAACTTCGGTGATTTTGTTTCCCTCTTCTGTCCACCTCTGGGCATGTGAGGTTAAATTCAGCAAGAGAACAACAGGGAAAATTGGTGCTGGGACCCCTTCCACTGTCACGTAGACTTGGACATGGCTCACTATCTAACTGTTAACCTATATACAGTGAATAGCTGACCAGTAGTTGAATGAGAAACCTAAAAATTAATCAGTGGCCTATTGGGATTCTGTCTACCATTGTTTTAGACATCAAACATCGCATCAAATGCATGTGCTTACTTGCATACTCCTGTAGCAGCCCCCTACCTCCTATGGGCAGTTAGGGTCCCCCAGTGGGGTTACCCTAGGGTAAAGTCCTTTACTTTTAGTGGGGTTTTGAACAGATTTGATGCCAGTGACTTTAGAGTCACAAATTAGAGTTTATTTGCCACTGTGAACTAAGGGAGAGATGGTTGGGACACAGGACACCCAAGGAACACAGCAGACTCCAGTTAAATCACACTCACATCCTTCACATGTTAAAGAGCCTTTAAGCAAGACCGGCATTCTGTAATTCTTGAGCTTTGGGCTGTAGAATAGTTCCAGCATAATCTCTGTAAAACACAAGACTCCCTGTGAGCTTCTGACCTTTAGCCAAATTTCCTCCCTGGTGATGCTTTTCAGGATTGGCTGCACTTCAGCTGGGA